GCACTTGATGTATAATGATTTAAATTATCTATAATTTAATTTAAATTATCTAATATAATTTTAGAACGGTTTTACTTCAGTGTGAAAACATGTTTCGTAACAGAAACTTGTTTTCTTTAATCATTCAATTATCGCCGCTCGAAGAAATCTTTAACAAAATAATTAAACAAGCTTATTAACATTTTCTTTCTTCCCGTCTGCGATAAGAACTTGTAAACTCACTGATTAAACCGAGCCAGAAGGGTTTTAAATAAATCGTTTGTTAATATAAGTCTTATTGATCGGACCTTCTGTTCGGGCTCAAAACAATTTTAAAGTTCGCCGTTCTGCTGACCGCAATCAGAAGAATGGAGTTGGGAAGTTCACGGCTGTCGGTCGCTGAGAACCTCGAGGAACTTTCCCCTTATCTACGTATTCCCAGTTCCTTAGAGATAAATGAGATTCCCTCTTGTTCTTTAATCACTGTGTGTGCTCGGAGATTTATTTTCAAAGAGACCACCAAAATATTAATTTGGCTCATTTCCTCAAATGTGCAAAGGAAATGAGAAAGCTTTGCGGCTGTACTTGGAAGAAAGTAGTGAAATAAGCTTAACCTAATTATTTGTTTCATTTATGTATCTAGGTTCTCAAGATTAAATTTAATGAAGTGAAGACGGTTTGTTGTTGCAATAGAGTTATATATTTCAGTAAGAATATGAACAAAAATATAATAATTAGCGTATGGTAAATTATAATGCTGGTTTTTAGTTAGTATACGTACGTTTTTAAATCTAGAAATAAAATGAATTTAGAATTGTACATCGAATGTAAAGTTCCACGCAATAAACTCAAAAATATTCGCTGCATATGAGAACTTTTGGGAGTAGAATTAAATGTAAAATTTAAATTTTGACTTCACAAACGAAGTCACTTTTTGAATTAAAGAATGTTATCTATTGCAGACCATGTTTAACTGTAAAATCAGATATATATTTAGAAATGGATTCATAAAATTATTGTTTGATACTTATTGACGATTATTTTTGTGACGAAAAGAAAAGAAAAGGCCACCAAATAAAAACACTTTAACGTAGATTGATAATAAACCAGAAGATTATTTTTTTTAAATAATAATAATTTAATAATTTTTTAATTTTTAATTAAATAACACACAATATTTATACACAGTTTACCAAACCAACCAACAATATATACATATACCGATATCATTATATACGTATATGTAATCATTATTCGATGACACAGTCTACAGAAATTGATTAATTAACTCTCAATCTTATACGTCACTGGAATACTACTATATATACACTATAATTATTCTGTCAAATCAATGATAGCACCGAGATTCATAAGCCATATTAATAATATGATAGTAAATTAATTATTTATACTTGAATATGGCCTGTCAAGCTTGACAAATGAATAAATCAATCACTTGCTTATTGATCAAAGAATTGATAAATGATGATGATGAATGATAGTTATTTCTGAAAATACGAGTATGTCGGTACTTGAGTAATAGTTTTTGTTTACATTTTATAACTCAAGTTTTGGTTAACATTAATTAATCAAATTATTAAAAACGAGTAGCTTGGAATCACTAATAATAATATTCATTACTTGCCCAAATTCTCAAGACAAATGGCAAGAATTTTGTAGAACAAAGTCGAAGGCGAATCGCTACTTATAAATAAAGGCAAATAGTTTTTGGGGATCCATTTTTCCGCGCAATTTGCTATATTTTCTCGTGTCAAACGAACATTAATAAAACAGTAATAAATCTGATTACGAGCAGATATATACCTCTAGAAGGAAATACGATATTGATAAATATTTTTTGTAGACAATAAGACACGACACGACCTACATATTCATAGGTGAAATACTTTCATTTTATAAAGAAGAACCTATTTATACTTTAAGCGGTAGTATAAGGTTATATTTTATTAGTGGGATATCTTTCAAGTAGTGATTAAGTAATGGAAAAAGTGTCTTATATAACACAATTCTCATTTTAAAATGAATCTATCTGTCAATGGATTAAAAACAGACACAGCACGAGCCAAAATTACAAAACTACGAATCACTGCAAGAGTTATAAGAGAGGACTTCTAGTAGTTTCTACCGATTTAATTACTGTTCATAACTCGTTACAGAACAGCGACTAAATACCTTAAACTACAACTAACCAAAACTTGTTTCTTCTTTGTAGATAACACGTGGTGTTGGGGTGGTTATGCCAAAAGCCGAGTGTAGCAAAGCGTGATATCAAAGTTTCTTCTGTATGCCCGACAAGACTGCAGCACCGATGAGGCTTGTGAACCATGAGTACTTGGTGCTGCATCACGATTATGATGTCCACTATCAGTACGACAGTCCTCACGCCGGCTCCACAGAAGACTGAGGCTAAGGAAGCTTTTGGTAAGTCACCTTTTTTCTTAGAATTTTTACGTCTGTATTGTTATAATAACTATCGTGAGACATCAACGAGACAATAACAGTATTTTCACTTGAGTTACCCGCGATTTTTAGTTAATTTCTTTATCTACTTGACACGAAAATCGTTGGAAAATATAATATGAATCAAGCCTTAATTTACAAATACCTTTTTGTTTCTGATCCGTGTCTAGTCCAGTTCAATTTACCTACGTCTGTTAGGTATCAGCACACTTCTCTATATCTTGTCGGTTCTGCATCAATCATGCTGTCAATTTTGTCAAGTCTTGAGATGAAACACATACATGAGCTTAACTATGGGATATCAGGTATATCCGTCCAGTTGTTGCTTTAGGCGAAGCGTTATTGATGTAAACCCTTACTGGAATTACAAGTATAACTAGGAGCAGTGTTCTTAGTAGCAATAAATGCATAACAGACTCCTAATTACAATGTATCACTAATAAAAGTATTCGTTTCAATTTGAATGTAAATCTAAATTCATGAATGAAGGTTATTGTATATTTTGATAGAAATCAACATGTTTACCAAAATTGTTTGCTGAATCGACCCAAAACAAACAAGTAAACAAAGAACAAACACATCAAAGGATCATTAAACTAACACAACTCTATTTATGATCCATATAATAAAATGCCTAGTTAGGTTGAGTACCAAGCAATATAAAAATACTAAAGGAATTTAAATAATGACATCGACGCTCCAGTAACGACTTCCAGTTGTTTTGGTTGTGATTAAATACGCTCATTTATTATTTTGCTCGTAAAAATGAGGTCAGTTCACCAAGTAAATAGGTATTTGATTATAATTGACGCAAAAATATTAAGTGAAAGATCCACTGTGTTTTCAACGGAGCGAACTCTCTAATTACAGTCGTAATTCATTTTAGATGAAGATATTCTGAGCTAAGCTTGCTAAAGTTTGGTTAGATTACCCTTCAATGGGTACTTAAGAACTAGCTCTATTGGGAATTGATTCAAAAAATACTTGAGATTTATTTTTAATCGACTCCAAATAAGAAGTAGGCTCTCTGTTTGACCTGTACGTATGTATATACATGTTTGTGCGCGATTATCTCGCAATTAGATAAACCGATTCTGATTTTCAAAAGAGTGTTTGTTATACTTAGGTGAAGGTTTTAGTATATTAGTTAACCGACTTCAAAAAAAGAGGGGGTTGAAAGTCGGCTTCATTAATGTAGTTTTATAAAAAAAAATATTTTATGGGCCGGCTCGACCGGAGTGATACCACGGCCTCACAGAAAACCGACTTAAAACAACGCTTGCGTTGTGTTTCGTCGTGTGAGTGAGGTTAGCGGAGGCCCAGCTCCCTCCCCCCTTTCTCAATCTCCCCAATCCCCGAATCCCTACCAATCATCAAACTCCTTATCCCCAAACGGCCGGTAACGCACTTGTAACGCCTTTGGTATTCCAGGCGTCCACGGGCGTTGCTTATAGTGATCCGTCAGCTCGTTTACGGCATATCCCATAAAAAAACTTTGTAAACGTATACATCATGTTTGTTTTTATTCTTGTATCATTCTCAAAACCTCGTAATCGGAGAAACATGATAAAGAACATATTTACCCAGTGAGCCAGTAAATAAAAACATTAAGTAACTATGTAATACAGGATAATATTATTAAAGACTTAAAGTCCGCAAGTTGTGAGGCTAATAATCTTGTTACGCACACATTTCTAACAAGACTACTTAGGAAGAAACCATATAAGTTATGACTTCGTTGCCCACACCACAACTTATGTAATACATACATATTATACTTAGTACAGTATGTTTTGCAATTGTATGAAATTTGTCTTTGTTATTTTGGAACAAACAGCACCATTGTAGATTTAACCTTTATGTAAATGTGTGCTGTGTGTATTTATTACCAAATGTTATGTTATGATTGTGTCCACATCCTTGCCCTGGAGATGTTTGGATGATATTGATATCTAACTTTAGCCTAAATACTGAAAGGTTACTCAATACTAAGTTGTACTTACATATCATGCTACCTCTTTCATTTTACAAAGACTTTGAGGTGACAGAAGAATACTTAAGCTCGTCTCGCTGTTCACGTGTTACATCTTTTAGAAAGATTTGTGTTTAATAAACGATTTTTTATTTATTTTTATTTTATCGATCTTCTAGACATTAAATTGCTAAAATGTGGAATTGCTTCAAAGACAAAGATCTGTTCGTTGATTGAATAAGTGCATTTTGAAAATTTTGAGATTATAGACGATGGTGTACGGTTAGAACGATCAATGTTACCCAAAGCGTTGGTTCTGTTTGATAATGCAGTAGGTAATTAGTTCATGCTCCTGTCTTGTTGTGTACAACGCACCGACCACCAAAACATCTATCCTGCCAAGTTTGGCAACTACAGTAATGGGATAATAATGTACTTGGAATGGATCGTTTCTTGCTATCTGCAAACGTTTCCCCTCACTATTCCATGGTAGATTTTTTGTGTCGATTTATAGGATACAACTATATGTATATCTTTATCCCCTGGAAGGATAGGTTAAATGAAGTTTTTCTAGTGGATCATTTGCTGTAATTAAACAGGGTGTAAACGGCACGCTCCCGAAAAACAGGTGATGGTAAAAAGTTTCATTTTCACAAAAGTAAGGAATTAATGTTTCTTTTATGTAATAATAGTTCTAATCAACTGCTCAAGGCTAATGTTGAGTGAATAACATGAAAAAAAAAACAATTCCAATTGTAAACAACTTTTTGTCAGCGTTTCGGGAGCTGTTTATACACCCTGTACACATATTATATTCACTACGTAAATTAAGGTAGGTGACACTATGTAACCTAAGTCAATCTAAGTCTTAGTTTGAAAAAGTAAAAACTCAATAAAACTGTCCAGCTTGAAAATGACGAACCGTAGAAAAACTTCAACCGACTTTATTAACATCTTCCCCGTGTGTTTGCGAACTAATTAATTAAGTTGTTTATTCACTGTTTTCTTTTACAGACCGCCACTATTGGTACACACAGGCGCAGGAAACGTTGCAGAAACGACTGCAGTACGCTGCTGATAAAAATCCTGTTGCAAAGTGAGTAAACACAATACTTTAATTATAAGTAAATAGTATTGAACAAACAATAATAGAACTTATGTAACAGATTCTAGAATAAAATATATTTTGTCTTAGAAACAGAAATAAGTAATTAAATTCAAAGACAAATTAACGAAATGAGTTACACTTCACAGTTCCATTTATCTCAGTACCTTCAAGAGGATACCTTAAGAGATCTCAAACAAATTTGAATAAATAATAACGTACTTACAACTCGATTCGTGTCTACAGTCTTTGATATCGAAAGTCCTTGAATTTATTACCCATAAAAATATTTATATTATTGACATGGAATTCTTCGATGAGGAAGCTGCAAGTACAGGCTATGCGACCGAGGTCTCGGGTTCGATTTCCTGGTCAGGTAAACGTTCGAATATTTAGATTTTTCAAAAATTCTCCGCAAAATGGAGTTTAGGATTATGCCTGGTATATGATAAAATTCAATATCTATTACATGCAACTAATAACATAACTGGTGAATCGAGTAGTTGTTAGATTTTAATTCTAGGTACTCCCCTGTATAAAATCTCGAGAAAATGAGTCATTGTTATGTGATGTACTACTATAGTAACTTGAAGCCATATTCGAAATATGCTGAAGGGAGTACAATGTACAAGTTCCAATGTTTAGGCGTTTCGTATTTCCATACAGTGGTTGTGTAACACGACCGAGATTTTCACAAAAGCAATACTTATGAACTCGGTCAAGTTCGTATGTAGGCCACATCGGTCTTATAATTTCAAAAGGGCAACTTTTTAACTCGTTTTAATGGATCACCAGTGTACCATAATGGCAGAATCATTTTATTTTTGATGTTTGTGTTTGACCAGGTTGAACTGAGCTTGATCAAAGACAGGCGTTTCTACATTCTGTTTTGTTGTTAGTTAGGCATAAGAATACCATGTCATACACTTGAGATTATGTATCATTTCCAAATAACCAAATTATTACTGTTAGCCAAAAATGCATGCACACTTTTAATTGACTTCAGCAGCTCTTGTTTTACCGGCTTTTGACTATTCTCATTAAAACTAATCCTTGTCTAAGAAATACCAAATGACTTTGGTTCTCAAATTTTCTGTTATTCATGTTTATTTTCGTTTGGCTTCATTTCCGCAAACGCGCAGCAACAGATCAAGTTTTGCACTTGTTTTATTTATGTCAAACATCATACTTAAAAATAAAAATAGTAGAACCTAATTGTACGGCGAAAAAAAGATGTGAAATCCAAATTGGTTTGATTCATTTTTTCATTTATTTGCATACTAGCTTTTACCCGCGGCTTCACTCGCGTCACAAAAGGAAAAAAGTAGCCTGTGACGTAATAACATACCAAGACACACAGCGCCATCTATACCAATACTTTTGTTTTCCCTCGGGAATATCTCAATTTTTCCGGGATAAAAAGAATTCTATTATTTGATCCGGACTTCTAAACTTTACGTCTGCAAAAATTCAAAGCAATCGGTTTAGAAGTTACGGGGTGAACAAACAAACAAACTCACTTTCAGATATAATATTATTAGTAAGGATGCATAGGACATAATTTTATTTGAAGAGTCCAACATTGCACAAAAACGGACTTAATGCTTTTATACGTTTATTTTACGTGTCCTGTATTATGCAAGAATCATAACAATATCCAATATGGATAGTGAATAAAAAAGAAAAGTTCAGGTATCATTTTAAAAAATAAAATATGAAAGTACTTTAATCTTCAGTTTCTATTTATTAATTTTAAGCCGTATTTATATGGGTTAATGTGTTTAATCTGAATATGTTTGTCCATTACCATCCGTGTATTGTTCTATGTATGTATGTTCTAAACAAATAAACTTCTGAACCAGTTCCCATAACTTAGATGGTCTCAGTGGCTTGAAATCCGAAGTTCAATCCCTGGTTCCAGCAAATTTTCAGCGCTAGAACTGAGTTTGGATTGCGTAGCGCAAACAGTCTATTATTATATCCGCGGGCTTCATAATACAATTTGAACTAGATATTGGACCTAAGCAGATTCTATGTGTATATATATTAAATTATACATATACATTAATCGATGACCAAAATGAATGGTTGATTGTCTTTATGCCATTGAAAGCCAGACTGTATTACTTATTGTCCTTAAGGTTATTTTCTTTTTCGATCACTTTGACTGGATTTTAATGTTACATTGTTCTTTGTTCTCGCACAATCCAAACAGCAAAACTATGTAACTAGATAATTGTATTGTGAACCTGATTGAAAAAGAGTAACCTATGGAGTTTCTTGCTCGTTCTTTTCTATAGGAATTTACACCTTGGAATGAGCAAATAGCTTCACTTTTATTTATTTTTTGTTGACGTTCAAAAGTGCCTTTCTGGTCTAATTGAAATAAATGATTTTGACTTTTGACTTTTAAAGACAGATCTAATATAGTAAGACTATTTCAGAAATTTATTCTCTTCAAAGAATATTGTTCAATTTCTTATACAAGTTATCATGACATCATGGAAGAATTTGAAACTAATCCATCTTTGCTTTTCATAAAAACTACTATTAAATAAACTATTTAAAAAATACGTAGGCTAACCTATTTATTTTATCTATCTAGGCCAAGGACGTTAGGACTGATGATTTCTAGTCTAGTTCCCTTTTATAGTATACCTTTTATGAAATCGAGTGTTAAACATCTTTTTTCATAACAATATGAAGAATTCTTGGAATATTGATTTTCTTTTAATATTTTCCTTCTTTGGCGCTTGTTTCGAAAATGTTATTATTTTTAACAAAATTAAAGAAAACATAACCCGCCTACCTGCCTTCAAAGGCAGCTGGGTAAAAAATACCTGAAATTAATGAGGAAGTTCTATAATAATAACCGTTAATTATAAATTATTAACTTGTGTAAATAGAGGAACATGGTGTTTTTTCTAACAAAAATTCATTAGGAAAATAATTGGTCGTCTATACTTGCCTTGCACGTGTTCCTAACGTGTTGGGACTCGACTAACGGGTAAAAAGTATCTACACTAATACGTAATTAACCTTTTCCAATACTCTGTCCAATCGAGCAATACTGTAGGATACGATCTTGTCATAACAGCTCTATCACTCAAACTGCTATGATGCTGTCAAAACATGTTCGTAAATAGTATTCGTGATGACAAGAAAATCTCGTCGATCCACTTTTCCTCACAATTTTTCCACCGAATACGATGGATCGGTCTGTAATTAATTATTTTGTTTACATACCTGCCACTTGACTCGGGGGCAAGTAATTCTGTATCTTCACAATGACCTATATATTAGGGAGAGTATTAACTCTGATGAGTATGTGTGTATGTGTGTGTGTGTGTGTTTATGTATGTTTACTATTTGATACAGAAAAGGTTTGGGCTTTGTTCTAACATTGACATAGAACAATAAAATTGAAGTATTTTGAGATTCATCATCATCAAAGCCCGCGACATTGTACAGCAGGTAGGTCTTTTCGCGTCCACCAACCAATTCCCGAAAATAAGAAAACTACCACCATATTAATAGTAGTTAGTATATATCTGTTTGATCTTTTCAGTGTCTTACATTCTTGGCGATTTGTAAAATCGACGCGAACAGGCGACCTTACCCTTTTACATGGGCCTTCTCTACATAAAAAGGTTTACCATAATCTCCGCGCTTGGCACGTGGGCCATTTCAATGGTACGACAGTTATATAATTATGTACATCACGTAATACCATATTGGTATTAATGATTGGCTGCGCATTACCGCTCTGTATCATCATCATCAACAGCCTATACTTAAGTGCCCACTGCTGAGCAAAGCCTCCTCTTACACTGAGAAGGTTTGAGCATTAATCACCATGCTTGCTCTTTGGCGGTTTCAAACTCATAATCAGAAATATTTAGAAATTATAAGCTGAGGTTCCCTCACGATGTTTTCCTTAAGCTAACGCTTAGTCAATGTAGTCCAAATAATCTCAGAAAGTACATTTTAACTCGGAAAAATTCACATTGGTACTTTGCCGTTGGTAGGTTTCAACCCCGCACCCTCATGCATGAAAAACTCCGGGCCACCACGACAATTACACCGACACTGTTTTGTGTACCGGTCGGTAATCGAGTGACTTAACAGAAGTAGCCGCGCTCTATTTATTATGTACTTAATATGACAGTGGTTATTAAAGGTGACGATATTGTAGAATATACAAATACCCATACCAATACATTACAAATAGGTTCAGGTGCATCCGTGAGCACTAATGGTCGGTTTCTGACAAATGGTCCAGTCCTTTAGTCGGCCATTACGCTACTGATGTTTGAGAGTGATGACAAATTAATGTATTCTATACTTTTCTGGTGCCCTCTTCATGTACCATGTTTACAATTAAAGGCAATTTGTATCGCACGTGTATCGTAACTAAAAGCAAACTGACTTTCTTTGTTTACATGTATTTTTGTTTGTTTACACTTACACGCGTAACCGCTAAACCAATCATGGTTAATTTAAGTACTTACATACAGATAATTATGTTCCATATAATCTCCAGGGATTTTAAGTTCAATTTTACATTAATTTAATGTCACGGAGGAGTACGAGTTGTCTAATTGACATAATCAATATTGACAAGCGAGGTTGTGGGTAAATGCATGTTTAAATTTTCATAGGAACGTTATCAATTTGTAAACAAAGAACATCTACACTATATTGCAAACGTGGAAGTTTGGTTGGATTTTCGTTAGTCATTTAAGGCTAGATACATTTATATTAAGACTAGCTTCTGCCCGCGAATTCATTCTCATAATCACGTTTTCTCCCGTTCTCGTAGTTTTTCAGGATTTTTTTCTTTTAGGGTTTCATGTTTATATATACAGATTAGGTAGATTATAGTACATATGATCCATTTTTAGTCCCGATACCGTGAGAGAAGCCACTGGCAATAGCTAGTATGTTATCAACACTTAACGAAACTTTTTTAATGTTTCCATTAATATTTTTTGTTTAAACTAACTCAAAACATAAATACGTACTAATTAAAAGTTTTTAATTAAAAAGTTTACAGTCATGAGTCAATTTTCAAACTTTAGATAGGATTCACCTTCTTCGTAAGGTGAGGGACATAACCTACACGAGTTTCCTTGTGCGAACCGCTAAAGAGTGGAATTTCTTGCCGGAGTCTGCCGACAAATACAACTTGGGCGTCTTCAAGTCCCGAGTGAACAGATTGTTCACAGATAGGCGTGGTCCACCGTCAGCCATATCCCCGCTTACCACCAAGATGGTGGCCAAAAGTCAACCTTTCTAGTACCTATAAAAAAAGAACCTTAACCCAATTCTTTATATAATTTTATAGTATTACCAACGTATCTTAGTCCTTGAATCCCTAACAATCCTCAAATCCTAACACCCCAAAACGCTAACAACGTACTTCTAACACCTGTGGTGTTTTGGGTGTCCATAGGCTGCGCCGAATGCTTACGATCGTGTTCCGTCGGCTCGTTTACCGGCTCACCCATAAAGACTATAGAAAATAAATACGATATTTCTTGGTTGTCCTTCTTTCACATTGCAACTGAGTGAGTTAACGGTGGATTTTTATGTTTTGGCAATTATTAGGAAGCTGAGCACATAAGCTATTCCTTTAACCATGTGGGCGGAACCGCAATTAAAGAAAAAAAAATATGATTTCCTTACTAAACATGTATCATATGAATGTACCTTGTATCCTAACAAGGTTAATAGATGTATTAATTATACAAGTACATTATAAATGTATAACATTTGATCCTTTATTTTTTTAAACCAATTATTGGAAATCTTCATGAATGTAAATTATTATAAAAGATCGCTAGCTAGATTTGTTATTTTAATTAAATTATTCATAGCATTTTTTTCACTGCTTTATTTTCTCTAACATAATAATTATTACAAAGGATAATACTAGAGTCAAAGGAGAGCTGTAACAACAATAATACAATTTATTTTCAATTGAAAAATTCCTCGCCTCGGAATGTAGTGTTTCAATAAACTTTTTAATTTAATTTCATTATCAGTAACCAAAACTTTAATAGTAACAAATAAGAATTAATTCTTGAATTAATACAATAATTCAAGGCTTAACTTCTGACATAAACTTTGTAACTCTTTTATTTCTCTTGTGTCTTAACTGCCTACTCGATTCTCGACGATTTTACTCGAACAAATCCGGATGGCATTATGCTTAGTAGCCGATCGCCTAACTGCATCGCTGAGAAAGTGAGAAACCTTAATTATACGTGTCTTACTTTAAAAATATTTGTTGTTCTGCAAGAATACACAAAAACTAGAAACTACAACTTTTTAACAAACTAATATTACGTAATATTGTCATAAAGGTTCAGGTAACAGTAGACTCCCATACATTGATATAAGAACCCCTAGCACCTGGTCTTTTTCGAAGATCCGTCTTAAAAAACCTGTTTAGCAGATACTTCCACTTTCTTAGTTTACTTCTTTTACTAAAGTTTCGATATAAACTCAATCTATTAACTTCTTTTACGCAGAAACGTGATCCTGGTAGTGGGAGACGGTATGAGCCTGACAACTGCTACTGCAGCCAGGATCCTAAGAGGGCAGAGAAGAGGGCAGTCGGGTGAGGATACAGATTTAGCGTGGGACACTTTCCCTGCAGTTGCGTTAGCAAAGGTAAGACGGTCAGCCTATTTTAATTTTATGTGGTATATTGTCTGCACACGGGTATTAAGCTTTTGTACATTTTTATTTGGCTTTGAAAGCAAAAAAGCAGATAAATTTAAAATTAGACAATCATCGCAAATAACAAACAGCCAGCAAACGACACCATCACTAAGTACATTATTAGCATTCGTTTGTGATGCTTCCACACTAATAAAAAATAGTTGCAGAAACAATTTTAACGAGTTTACCTTTCTAAAATAAGTAATACTCAATATTATTTCAAGTCATGTGTTATGTTCTCATGTAAAATTGGCGTAAGTAAAAAATATAATAGTATCGAATAGCAGTAATATTGTTATAAGTCATAAGGTGTCATTTGCCATGGCACAATATTATGTCAGAGTATTGGATCTATTTTGCTTTGAACGTATGACTGATTGAATGCATTGCTACGTCCTTACACGTCCAATGCTAACCATACTAACTGCGTGCATTTAACGCCATACTCGAGTAACATTCTCTAATGAACTCTATTTCCAAATCATAAGTACCATCGAAAAGTGGATTTTTGTAGTTAGGTAACGGTCAAACGTCAGTCCCATGTAATATATAAAAAAATGTGTTTATTGTAGCAGGACGTTTTGAGTAATATTTTTTTTAAGGGGGGTAAATCATCTAACGACTTCTCCGCCCGGGTTAGGGCGAGAGGGAGTGTCATACTCTTATTGACTAAAAACCACCCCGTTCCTACTCCTGCACTTTGAGCCGGTGCCCCGGTAACCCGTTAGGTTCTCCGCGGCTCCGTAACGTTTTCAGTATATAGTGCCTTTAGCCAAGCGCCACTTGAGCGTTTGTTTACCGAGAGAGTAGAAAATTAAAATGTATGGGAATGACGCTGACAAGTGTCAAAATTTACGTCAATTCCATATAATTTGGTTTTCTACTCTACATGTAGACAAGCGCTAAATGGCGTTTGGCTACAGCTGCTGTTTTTACACAGCGTAATTCCCTATAGGTTTTGCTACATTACTATGTATATTTCGAAGAAAGTAAACAAAGTTAATAATTCATCAAATAACCTTGCAATTTATCAGTATATTTATATTCCGCAATGTATAAGAAGAAAAAGTACCATACCAACAAAAATTTTAATAAGACACGTTCTCCGTAAACTGGCAATCACGTTTGAATTGATCAAATTCATTCAAACTTGATACGAATTGGAGTAATATAAGTACATATAATATAAGTATATCATGCATAATACATATCATCAGCAATAACATGCTAAACAGTGAATATAGGACGCCATTTTATTTTATATTCCCATGTGCCTTTATAACCAAGATTTTGTTAATTTTCCGAGTCAATTTTCGTAGGGACATTTTGTACTCGCTTTTCACATTTAATTTTTCCTTTTGAGAGAAACTGTGAACGCTGATGGTAATCAGGTTTATTTACAAAATGAGTCTTTGAACTTTGATAGTATCGCTGTACAGGCGCCTTTGCTAATTGGTCAGTCTTGTTCGTAACACAGACGTGTGATATGCAGAAAATGATACACGTTTGTGTTTTAAAAGAAATGGGACAACTTTTGTACTTAGCTTTTGACCGTACATATGTATAAAGTTATTCTTAAATTTCTTTAGAAGGAACATTGTAAGGACATTGTAAGTTGAAGTTAATCTAGATACACGAGTTAACCTTTATCCGAAAAAACAAAGAAATTTGCCTAAGTACGAGTAACAAACTTTTCTGCCTCGTTGGTTAAGTGGCATGTTTGACAGCCAGCCAAGGATTCTTGGGTTCGATTCCCGGGTCGGCCAAAGTATTACTGGGTTTTTGAAAAAAATCTCAGTAGTAGCACAGAGTCCGGATTTGTACCCGGTATATGGCAATAGGCTCACCCCCTATAACACGGGACTCATAACATAAATAGTGAAAAGTGAATGTTTCATTGTACAGTGGCATTAAATGTCGTAATGTGCACCTCTGCCTTCTTCTTCGGGGATAAAAGGCGTGCAATGATATAACCGTTGTTGTCTGGAAGAAATCGCCGCGTGTGATAAGGCCGCCCATTGTACTCAAATTACTATTATGCTAACAATTTTTTCTATGTGTGCAATAAAGTATATATAAATAAATAAATAAATAAATAAACCTTCAGTTTCTTAACAGTATTTTTGTTTCAAAACTTGTTTATTTGATATTTATTACAACGTATACACAACTAATCACCCAGATTATTAAGGTAGACTATACTACTTCTATTTCATAATTATATGAAATCTTACTACATCATGAATCAATAATATGGTTCAAAAGATATCTCCTCACGTACGGATAACCTCGTGCGTTGTTGTGGTGTTTGAGGGAAACCATTACGCTCAATATACCTCTACATGTAGTATTCATCACAACAATATGGTGTAAATATGTATTTGCAAGTTTTTCTTTTGGCGATAAAAAAATTATTATGAGGACCTACATACTGACATAGGTACATTATAATATTATATATGTCGGTATATAATAACAAAAAAAAAACTGTTTTATAAATTTTCTAGAGTAATTATATAAAGTTTCGTAGGATTCTAAACGATAGATAAATTGTACTATCATCGACCAATCAGAGAGCAATGTGTTTTTTTCGTATTTTTTAAAGAAGCGTAAAGTTTAATCTGTTTTGTGATTATTCGAACCATTTCAAATCTTGTGAGTATCTACTCATTTATCTAAATGTCGCAGTAAGATAGATAAAAACGTAATATTGCTATACGATTTTTTTTTTCAAAAATAGTCATCATTTATCATTTATCAAAAATAGACATTTTCATCGCATTTCATTATTTGTCGTCATCATGGATATGTTAAAAATACGAGTAAGGAATATGAGTACTATCGTGGAAGCAACACGGCCTAAGCGGCAGGCAACGTATATCATACGTATGTTCATATATACAAGGTCCTCTACGAATATACATAATATCATACTTTTGGACTTGAAAGCATGATAGAGAAAATAGTGCTCTCATAGACTAGAAAACTATGCTTCCATAATTTTCTTGTACTCAACAGAACTCTTTTCCATTTACACCCATATACTCAACATGACACTGACTACACGCTTAAATAGTAACAGCTTTCCTCCAACTCTTCAACACAAACTCCTTTCTTATTTTGTAAGGCTTGCAAATAATCATCGGTGAGAATTCTCTTATATTTCCACACAAACATTTATGTTACGGCTTCCGGCCCGACAGTACCCCATTGTTTTTCATGTGTGTCGTAAGCGATTAAGGGATTATACTCAAATAGCTACCTGTGAACAAATAACATTGTACTGCGATCAGCGTCTCAGCTGTGTGTTTTGACAATAACAATTTCGGCACTCATCGTTTCAAAGCTTCCCATTGAGTGGTGGAAGCACTTAAGATGTACTAGAAGACTATATAATCCCATCTGTTGATGTTTTCATATTATTGAGAAACTAAACTATTATTTTAATTGTTCTTGTGGGATTCAAGGACTTAATATAGTTGTTGTCTTTCATAATTTAGATGTAAATCGGTTTATATGGATTATACAATTGTATATATTGTGTGTAATGTCTTTAGTAATATACTCTTCGCCTGTGTATTATAAGCCTTATAAGCCCTCTTCTTATTTCTGCTTATATATTTTCCGGGCTTTAACTGCCTACTACCATATAAATATGTTTTGATTAATACGAGTGTTATTAATATAATATAACCTATGTGACTTAAGTTTTTATTAATAAAGCAATCATGAACTTTATTAACTTTAAAATTTCATGTTCATTTAATTTATTGGATTAATCATATTTGTATGGAAAACTTTCAATATTTTAAATCGGTTTGTAGACTCTTTGTGAAACGTATGATTAATTCGTCCATATTAAAGTTAATTGCATATTATTTATTTGTGTTTTTTTGCTTAACAGACATATAACATAGATGCCCAAACAGGAGAGTCTTCTGCCTGTGCCACCGCTCTTCTATGTGGCGTGAAGGCACGGTACGAGACCCTGGGTTTAGATGCTGGTGGAAGATTCAACAGTTGTGCTTCTACTATCAACTCTAAAGTCACATCTTTGGTTGACTGGGCACATGAAGCTGGTAAGTAGCATTATTTCTTATTTAATGTGATTTAAGGGCGCCCTAGAAGCCCTGACCAGATTGGCGATATATTAAAGAAAGGCCAAATTAAAAGTACCCTTGACCGACGAGCATGCATGAAAAGATTGATGATCATCTCCACTAAAATTATACAGTAAAAACATTTTTGTTTGTTTTTTCTTAGCTCCGAAACTATGAAATCGATTTGATAATTTTTCTCTAACAGAAACCTACATTATCAAGGTGTTATAGGCTATGTTAGCCTTGGGAGTTTGGGATGGTCGATCGATAAATAGAAACAATTAAACTTAAGCTTCGTTCGTCGACTGCCTAGTAGGTAAGATAGAAGTGGAAGGTAAAATTCCCCGGTCGGGCAAAGAAATATTATTACAAAAAAATCTTAGTAGTACCACGGAGTCTAGAAAGATGTATAATACTACTAGATACTCAATAACAATAAAGGTTAGTTCTCAGATTAAAGGCAATATAATTGTACAATGGAGTGCCTTAACTAACAATATCAATGGAGATTAAGTATTAGCCCGTTTCTTATGCCGGGGTCACGTCGTCGATAGCATTATATCTAGTTAATAAATCTGTACTTTCTATACCATATTGAACTATGACAAAATAATATCCTCATAAGGACGAAGTACTACTTAACTGATCTAGTAAAATTCATTTCTTTCAATACTTGGTTATGGTATGGTTAATTTTTATTACTAAACTTGCTTCTGCTCGCGACTTCGTACGCGCAATCCTGTTTTCTCTCGTTCTTGTTAGATATGCAGGTATTTCTATGTCTTAAGAACCTTCTCCTAATAATAAGAAATAAAACAAAAAAAATAGTGAAATCGGTCCAGCTATTCACGCGTGATGCCGTGATTAAGGGAAAAAGGGATTCATTTTTATATAAACATAGAAGATTAATAAATAAAGCAACGTACTTATTATTTCTCTGCTGTTACGGGTTTCCCTTGGCGCCACTGCTCGCTTCCCACCAGGTGGTCTGTATGCTGGTTTTCCTCTTACCTATTCCATTAGGTATCGGATTAAATATTATTGTCCTTAAGGTTATTTTCTTTTAAAAGAGAGTCTCTTTGTATCGTTCGTTGTTCTCACACAATTGAACCAACAAAACGATGTAAGTAAAGAATTGAACTAGATTGGAAAATAATAACCTATGGAGTTTCTCGCTCGTTCTTCTCCGTAGTAATCTACATCTTAGAATGAGCAAACAGCTTTATTTTTAATTTTTCTTGGCGTTCATAAGTCTAATTTAAGTATCTCAATGATTTTGTCTTTGAAATCTTTGGCAATCCAAATTACAGTTTTGATTTCAGTATTTTTGTAGTCTTATCTATGTGTTCGGTTTTATCTACTCCTTAGTTCACCTTTATGAGTACAAAGTTCTCTGTACCTTGAAGAACCATACACCTGACGTTTCCATACTATGTGTAAAATCACACAAGTAGGTGATGCAGAACAAGTAGGTACTGGTGGTTTGAAAGATCCTCTTGCTTGTATTTCGATTCCCTTTTCCTCCTCACCAATCTTGCGGCTGTCAGTTTTGAGTGACGTCACAAAACAATATTTTATTATACCCTTCCTTAACAGACTCGTGTCTCGACATAGCACACGTCATTTTGTTCTGATAGTATTATTACAATTTAGTGACATGATATAAACGAGAATCATGGTGTTTTTATCCCTGGGGATCTACGCTTCAGAATGTGTGTTAAGTATTATCTATTATTATGTGATAATCTTTGAAAATATGTTTGTAGGAAATGAGTTAGGTAAACGAAAGAAAAGTAGGTCACTATTTATTTACATTTAAGTACATATATTGAGAGACTGTTTGTACTGTAACATAAATAAGTCAATTCTTTAATTAGTTCGCAATCTTGAGAGTAGTGGCGCTCCTCAGACTACAAAACCAACAAGACGTATTACAAACAATTTTTATTTTATTTTGATTATGATGTACATAATTTAGTAACCTTCCATTAGGAATTCTGTGAGATAGAATCTTGGATATAGAAGAAAACTATTCAGTTATAATAATATTTACCCGAGAGAACATAAAGTAGATGAATTGATATCATTTATTTTATCAAGTACGTACGTAACGTTTCCAACGTTATTTGTTAGATCACAAGGGATTGAAACAAATTGTTTCATTATTATTTATTTGATCTGAATAAATGGCTACGACATTAGCAATTTTCGTCAATCATAGCTGTGTTTTAAGATCCACAATCGGATCAAAATTGGTAAACGCTTTTCGGAGAACTGTTCATCTTGATAAAATTGTCTTTCTGTTTAGTACCACCCTTTATATAGAAATACACGTGTAAAATTTACGCGAACCAAGCAATAAACAGCCATTTCATAGATATTAAGAAAAAAAATCTTTTCAAATTTTAATTTATAGTAAGTAGGTACAGAGTTGACTTATTATTGAATATTAATACTTCTAAAAACAACATAACATAAAACATAACATAACATCACGCCTTTTATCCCCGAAGAGGTAGGCAGAGGTGCACATTATGCCACTGTACAATGTAACACCCACTTTTCACTATTTATGTTATGAGTCCCATGTTAACTGGGGTGAGCCTATTGCCCTATACCGGGCACAATTCCAGACTCCGGGCTACTACTGAATTTTTTTTAAAACCCAGTAATAATTTGTCCGACCCGGGAATCGAACCCGAGACCCCTTGCCCGGCAGTCGCACTTGCGACCACTCGGCCAACGAGGCAGTCTAAAAACAACATATTGCAAAACTAAAAGTACAAAGTGAACAGAAATTATTAAGGAAATATTCACTAATTATCTTAATACATGGCATTAAATATACCTCTAATATTGAGCTACGAAAAAGACCAATTAGTTCCCAAAATGTAGCCATTAATTCTCATTAGCAGGATAAATAGCCTAGAGCACTAATGTATTTAAAAAATGTTTCAAAATTGGTTCGTATTTTTTTTTTAATGGCATAAGCCGGTAAACGAGCAGACGGATCACCTGATGGTAAGCAATCGGCGTCGCCCATGGACACCCGGAACACCAGAGACGTTACAAGTGCGTTACCGGCCTTTTGGGGATTAGGTGTTTGAGGATCGTTGGGGATTCAGGGATTGGGGAGATTGGGGAAGGGTAGGGTAATCGGGCCTCCGGTAACCTCACTCACACGACGAAACACAACGCAAGCGTTGCTTCACGTCGGTTTTCTATGAGGCCGTGGTATCACTTCGGTCGAGCCGGCCCATTAAATAAATTCTGATTTTAACTTCCCCGTTATTAGAGTAGATTCCAGCACAACTGTGTCCTTACTTACGTACTTATACTTATTACCCGACTGTAGAAAGGGATATTGTATCGTTTAGAATGATGTTTTACTTTGAAATTCTTACTACAATTTTCATTTGAAAAAGTTCCACAATAATGTCTATGAGTGGGTGTAGCTTAACTAGTAAAATGCAGTGCAATTTTACTGTACAGAATCATCTTTTTACGTTTAGACGTGATTTTATATTGTTAACGGTTTTAATATTAAACCGCGATAATTATATTCACACATTTTGTGTTGAGAGCTCGTTCATCGAAGTGAATGTGCCCAACCATAGCATCGACGTTACTTAACTATCGTTGTAATTTAGTGATGCGATAATTCACTACCATTTACAGGTACAGTCAATAACAGAGGACAAAAATATTCGGTTGTATCTGTTGTTTTTAAGATTTTGAACATTAACTCGTCGAGTACCGTCTTTGTAGACACAATTATAGAACAATAGGTTGCGGTCACCGGTGACCGCTTGGTGTTTGACAGTGAACATTAATGTGATAACAAAACGTTGGGTATAAATGTTTTAAAACACTTTTGAGCTAAACTTATATTTGAGATACCTTTGAGCAACCCAAAACACTCTTCTAGGAACAACACACACTATAAAATGAAAGTAAAATTGGAATATTAGCTACCTACTCACAATCGTCCAAAAAAAATTGAATCTACCTACTGTCGAAAAGGTCAAAAGGTTTGTTTAAAAAACTCTGATGACTTATCCCTGGACTGTACACTTGTACATTATACAATATAGAATGTAGTAAATTATGACGGTTCTAAAATATGTCTACATACTCTGTGGCAATAGTACAGAGTGCCATTGTCCAGTGCATTCGCCTCGATAAGCGAGCACTCGACGTGAAGCGTGTACGTACTTAGCTCGACCGTATAATACTGTACGATATATATATGTATATACATAATTATGACCACTGTTAAGATTATGATTAATTTATTACACTTATGATTATTATCCTTCGAACTATTGTGTTCTCAATATGTCTGGAAGAATTGACAGAATTTATGACTATTTTTTACTAGCGAGTTGTAACATATTAGGACAAAAATATACTATAGATATTATTACGTAGTTTTTGGCCATTGAACTAAGCAATGCTACGTTTGCGATCTCTGTTTACATCAAAGAGTTTTTAATTTTAACGTAACAAACTAATCTGGAATAAGGTTGGTTTCATTTTCAAAATACATGTTTTTGGTCAAGACTGTGATTTACTTTCATCAAATAAAGTGGACTAATTAATAAAGAGTACACAATACCCGTAGACTTAAACCTAAAAATACATAAAGATCTAAGAGCTACATACTTGAAATAAACTAGAAACCTTTTGACCTTATCAGATAAAATGGTTTCAACGTAATTTCCCAAATTCTCTAAACGACAGAACGCGGGGACGGCGACGTCGAAAAACAAGTCGAGAATTTGGAATATTTTCTTATAATTTTACACAAGAATAGAGGAATAACATGTTTCGCCGCATATAATTATAATAAACCGTTGAAAAACGTACGAAAGAATGAAGGTTAGTAAACGTAAAGCCTAAACCCCGCTTTATTTTCTGGCAAACAATTTACATTTCGTCACGACATGCCACATTCTTCCACAAACTCTTTTGATCATAACCATAAACCTAGTACTGGCTGAAAGCACAGTTTGTGTTTCTTAAACAGTTTAGTATCAACGGAATAGGCTTTCTAAACTTCATTACCCAAGGTTCTTAAAATATTCAGTCCTTTTTCACTTTGCATTTTTGCATGTATTATAAATGCAAAGTTTTACTGGCGAAGCCTGATGGTGCGTGAATATTAAGTTATGGTTCTTAATTTTATATTTTGTTTATTACCTCTCACAAATAATATTGTTAAATATCGCATGCAAATATAATAATACAGACTCTAAATTGGTCCGCATAGATATGAGCTCATCCTATATTACATAGAACCATCAAACGTAATCGACGAAAATGAAGTTGTATTACACTATTCTGTCTGCTCAAGTTCTGTTATCTATATGAATTTAGACCATAAATTATCTCACACAGGAAAATCCAGCGGCATTGTGACAACAGCGCGGATAACACACGCTACTCCGGCGGCGTTGTACGCGCATGCGCCGTCCAGATACTGGGAAGACGATAGCAGAGTACCCCCCACCGTTAGAAAAGACTGCAAAGATATAGCTTTGCAGCTTGTAGAAAATGAACCGGGAAGGAGTATAAATGTAAGTAAAAAACCTTAAGAATGATTTATTAATATGGACCCACTTAATTATATAAATGCTGCAATAAAGAGTTGGCGTTCATTTTCTCTGTTTACGAGATACAGGTGTGGCAATGTATAATTGTGTACGTGTTATATGTTTGTGTACAATAACACAAAAATTTGCATTTTTATCAAAGTAAGCGCATTTCAGTTCTTTTGTAACTCGGTGTACAATTTGCATACAAAATGCGCCGTAATTTTATAAACTTCATGTCGTCGAAAAACTTAAAAAAAAACAACAAGAGCTCAATGTTTTATAAAATTAAAGGTTATGCGAAGAAACTTACAATTCTCCGTAAGAAGAAAGGAAGAGTTTTAACTTGAATTTTTAAAAAGTTCAAAAGTAACAATGTTTTTTATTAATAGCTCCCGGGAGATGAAATAGCAAGAATCCTCAAATTGTACAAAATCCCTTTTGTAAATTAGTAAGTGAAGTTAATTAGACACAAGCACTTAGGTTGGAGGAGAGAGGATTATCAGTGGTTTTGATGTAGCTGGGTGCGCGTTTTAATTATTTCTTCAGTAATTCATGCTGACTTAAATGTTCCGTTGATGCATTTTAGCCTTTACAGCAGTATTAAACACGGTAAAAATTACAGGCTTCAAGAGTATGAGAAAAGAACCTTTATAAACATTGTACACGATGGGTATAATATTAAAAATCCTTCAAGTAGGGATCGCGGTGCCGTTATACCGACAGCAAGAAAATCTGGCGCAATATTGCGTTTAATGACATACGAATTCTGTGTAAGGGTTATTATTATTGTAACCAGGAAGACATTTTGAGATTTTCGGAGATTGTTGCCGCTTCAACCTCATTTGATGTTGATATTTATTAATTTGAGAAAGCTTAAATTCATATTATAAACAAAGAACAGGAGTAAGAACGGGTTGGTTTTTAGTCAGTAAGAGTCTGATAATCCGTCGTGCCTCCCTCAAGGCGGCAGAAATCATCGGATAAATTTCCTTTTTCAAACAAGAAAGAAAAAAATTAATTGTATTGGATTTGATTGATATTTGATGATAACTGGTCTGAAATGTAAATAAAATACTACTAACACCACAATGTAGCAAATCCAAATAAAAATTGCAGAGCAATGCTACTTGCAAGAGATAGTTACAAAATGTGACCGCTTTGCGCTCTACGCAGACACCTTCACAGTTTACGGTGAAGCGAAAAATAAATTCAAGCTTAAACTTTGAACCTCTTTTGTTTTTATTTATGTAAAACTCAAGCAAAACCCGCACATTGTATTTCATTTCACACTTTCACACACATTTTCCGCCTTGTATTTTTTTCTTATTTGTTGTTATGTTTACGGATTATTATCGTTACTGTTTATAAAGGTAAATTGACTAGTTCCATGCTAGGAGCTCATGTTCATGAGCAGTACTGCATGACATACCACGAAGCCAAATGGCAATATGAGCTCCTATCGTGACTTGAAACTGGTAGGATTACTTCGTCGACCTGTCAATAAGCTGTTAAACATAATTAAATTTAATGTCTCATTAGATTAAAAAATAATACATAGGTAAAAGTATTTCTTTTATTTCTGAAAGGTAATTATGGGAGGTGGAAGAAGACACTTCTTGCCTACCATCACACCAGACCCTGAGCATCCAAACCGTGAAGGTAGAAGACTAGATGGAAGGAATTTAGCTGAAGATTGGGCCAGAGAAAAGAAGAGACGGCGATTGCGAGCTCAATATATACATTCAAGAGAACAACTTGCTAAGTTAGATCCTAGAACAGTGGACTATTTGTTAGGTAAGTTTCATTAAAAAAATCTCCACTACTTTTATCGTATCTTATTGACTTGGTTTACCTTTTTTTTATTCAATATGTTCATAAAGATGTAATAAACATGACAATGTGTCATATTTATGTTACTAAAACCATCCAAATTGGCAACATCACAAACATATGGAGAGGTTCACACAACTTATTAAAAGAAAAAGCCTGGTAGTAGCACCTAAACACATGGTTACAAAATATTATTTATTTAGAGGTAATAAAACGAGTACTTTCAAAGGGTTATTTTATAACAGCATTTGTGGTATAATTTGTGGTGAGACACTAATACTATTCTGTACGGATAAATCTAGTAGAGCTTCTATATTCAAAGCCATTTTACCCGAAAATTCAATTTTAAGTACTATGCAAACGTGTTCCGCTCCACTATGCATTTCAATAAGTGCGAAAATCGATAGCACTAAATTTCGAATGGTCGCTTAGCCTGTCAACTGTTTTCGAAGATATTACTAGATCGAGTTAGCTTCAACAGTAGCAAATTATGCTAAACTTTGTCGACGAAACATCTGCTCGCAATTCTTCATCATTTGTTTACGAAATACTGAACTATAAGAAAGATGACAAGAAGTCTTATATGATCAAACGAAGGCTACTGATCTACATAATTCATGTCAAGGTCAAATAATATATTGGGGGAAATATGCCAGAATAATAGCTTGGGTAGATGATAGGCCAGAAAAAGTCAAGTGTACAAGATGGGTAGGGATATATAAATCATGATATTCGATTCCATTTATATCGAGGGTGAAATGCAATATCGTGTAAGACCAAAATATGGCCGAAGCAATATCGATATTGAATATCGTAATAGACGCAAACATCTAGATAGATCGTCAACACGCAAAATGATAATAATTCGACAAAAAATGACTAAGTCTATTAAATAAAGTTAGTCAAGGTTGCCACGTTATCATAAACATCAAAATGATTAGCTATAGAAAATATCACCCGTACATTAAACTTTTACTTCCGGAAAAACTACCAAAAAACTCGTTATTATGTCTTTAAATTATGGCTTAAAGCGTCAGTTTGAGAGCCATTACTTTTATGAAACTGCGTTTTTATACAAATTTTGTAAAAGCCCTCATCTACCGGTTGGATTATTTAAGAAACCGGACCCTTTTGTGTGCTCTGTTGGGTTTGTTTAAGGGTTAATGCTTACTCAACAATTTGAGTGCCCACAAAGCCTGTTTTGGGTGACCTCCATTTTAAACCATGCACAATGTAGGAATACAAATTAAAAGGTCCAAATAAACAGTTCCGCTTCACTAGTTTAGTTGATATTTTCTCCAACATCAGTTAAACAGTCGCTAAACTACAAATTGATATTCCCGTCAAATTAAACTATTACACAAACACAGGCCGAATAGTCTTATTTTATATAACAAGCTTTATTTTAAAACTAATGATTGGGGACCTCTCGCAGCTACGGGATTAAAACAATAAAGTAGTACACGAATCCGTCTTTAGAAAGATCGATTGACGCTTTACATTTTAATTAAAATTTTACGTGAGGAGAATAAATCTATAGATTCATTAAAATTTTGATATACGAGTGCCTGTGAAATTGGATACTTTGTTATGATTGATTTTCTATACTTATTTCATAACATTCCGTTTAGAATTACAATGTTGCTTTGAATTTGTATGAGTACTTAAAAGATTAGGTACAACGGCTAATATCAGATTAACTTCAATACTTTATGTGCCAATTTATAAAAGAAATTACCAACTTTTGAGTAGTACTTAACTTCTGCAAATGCGGAAGATCAGGAAAACGATAAAAGTAATGAATTCCCCTTGGAAAATTAATATAGGAGAGACAACAGAAGTGTAGAACGGCGTTTGGCTTAAGAAAAGTTGGACCAAAAATGTTTCCGGTCCCTTAGCGGAGTTTATGAAATATTTACGTTCGTCCAGATTACGTTTACCAAGTTTACATTATGATCAGTGCGGCCCCGTTGTGTAATCCCATTTGAATCCTTTTTAATCTCACCCGCCCGACATAAAGTAGCATTTGCATTTCAAATATGGATTATGCTGTTACCAACATCCTTAATTCAAAAATTGTATTGTTAACCACGATTCTTAGTATTTTATTAATCTGTCCCCCCGTTTGAGTACACGATGGTCGTTTATTGAAACAAAAGGGATTTGTCGGTAGAATGTTCAGTGTTTGGACATGTCCAACATTGATATGGTAATGTTGTTACTAAGTGGAGACGTCAAGAGTCAATCACAGTGCTATTACCATTTATTGACCATATTACCATTTATTGACTTATCGATTTTAATAAATAAGAAAAACCTTTTGTTAAATATCTTCAAATTTTTGCCGACACAGGTCTGTTCGAATACTCCCATATGGAGTTCAACGCAGAACGAGGAGCGATAGCAGACGCGGAGGAAGGTGGTAGTGCCAGCCCCACTGTCAAAGCTGATGATCCATCCCTGGCCGATATGACTCGAGCCGCATTGTCTATTTTGACCAAAAACGATAATGGATTTTTTCTTCTCATTGAGGGTAAGAAAAGTTTTTACAGATGCTTTTTTTTGTTTGAATTCATTCAAAGGTTATGCGTATTTAAAGGATGTAAAAATAAACCAATCAATTTCCACTGATCCTTGAAATAAAAATCTATTTTCGTAACTGATAAACTTAATATATTTATCTTACAAAAATAAAATTTTACGAAAATTAAGAAATTTTATTATCTAGTTTGTTTTATCAGTAACTTTGTTTAATGTTCGTGTTTTCCTGCGTAGGTGGAAGGATAGACCACGCTCATCACTACAACAATCCATATAGAGCTCTCGACGAAACTTTGGAGTTAGAAACCGCACTGTTGGCAGCATTAGAGAGGGTTAATCCTGCTGAAACTTTGATCGTCGTCACCGCCGATCACGGTCATGTAATGACTTTTGGCGGCCAAGCTACGCCGAGAGGACACCCTGTTCTAGGTATCAAAATTAAACAAAAACCAAACACATTCTATTCTTATACGAATTTCTGTATCCTACTCATAATAGGATCTCCATTTTCGAAGCCAAATAGTTTATAGAAGCCATCGACATTTGGCACAGTTTACAAAACTTGTTAATTGAAGTCTCGTGCCAACGTTTTTCGTTTACATGATGTCCTCTAAACCAGTTTGATGGATATTGGCTTCGTTGGAACAGCAGCTTAGAGTTTTAGAAATTAATTAAAGCTTATTTTAACTTCGAGGTTTTTCGACTTAAGAAGTATTTGTATAGAGATTGAAGAGTTTTTTGTAGTACTTTGAAAGTTTCAAGTGTGTTTTGTTTGTTTAGGTGCGGATACTGTGGTGTCGGATATAGATGGTTTGCGTTATACTACTTTGCTCTACGGTACGGGTCCTGGGCATTCGGAGCCGAGAGCATTGCCGTTGAATACGACGACGTCTGCTGCAAATGCGGACGCTGTTCACGCTGCTGCAGTTCCTAGACAATGGGCCACACATGGTGCTGAAGATGTGCCTATTTATGCTTTAGGTATTTCCCAGTCTTATGAATGGAAAACATTAAAAAGTTTTATTAAAATGAAGTGTTATTATTACGTAATTATTCCATCTTGTGCATAGGTCCAATGGCAACGACATTGTTTGCTGGTGTTGTGGAGCAAAGCTACATACCTCATGCGATCGCATACGCAGCGTGCATAGCCCACCAGTCGCGGAGATGTCAAGAAAAAGTCAACTTCACACAACCACTGGTAAGAAAACAATAACGTTATAAAACTTTTCTTTATTTTTTCAGCTAAATTAGCTAAGTTTTCTGATTAAGAATACAATTTTTATATAAAAAAAAACTTTTGAGAAATAGTATAAATAATCTTAACGTTAATATTATCCAGGAATTTATTATCCTTAAATAATTGTTATTGTTTCGAAACCATAAAAAAACTAAATCCGTATCACAAAATTCATTGAATAAAGTACCAAAACTTTGACCTGACTGTATTGGCGACGAATAAATTACGCGTAAAAACAAATTGTTATTCTTGGGTGAGTCTAAAAGAGTTTTTGTTATCTATGACAGGAAAAGCCTCCGAACTGCGTTCCACCAGAAGTGAGCAGCGTATCCACTGCAGATGACACTAGAAGTGACAGCTCAACGCGACGTCGAATTGTCGTCGCGTCAAGTGTCATGGCTGACGAACGCGCGCCCCGATCGTCTGCCCCGCTACCCGCTACGCTTATCACCTCACGCTACCTTACATCAAAGCTAATCGAATACATTTCTCGAATAAGTTTAATTTGGTTTATCCTAAAGATATAAAATTCGTTTAAAATGTACATAATTAAATTAAAATACAGTCCACCCCATAATTTTCTCGACTGTATCTAAAAAAATGTTAATTAATTTCTAATGATGATTTTAAAAATGTACGTATACGTTAACTGTAAATACACTGATCGAAATGTAAATAAAATAGCTGTTACTTAAATGTAAATATCAAATTAAAATGAAGATTGATATAAATAGTTAAGTGTCATCATTAAATGGATTTTTAAAAGAACAATGTTTGTTTTTCTTACTATTCCTTATTAATTACCTACTTAAAATTTACGCCTACATTGATATTCTTCGTATTGGAATGCCTTTTTTTATAGTATAAGTCGGTAAACGAGGTTACCGGCCTTTTGGGAGTTGGGAATTTGAGGATTGTGGAGGATTCGGGGATTCGGGAGACGGGGACAAGGGGGGTAATTGGGCCTACGGTAACCTCACTAACACGACAAAACACAACGAAAGCGTTGTTTTACGTCGGTTTTCCGTGAGGCCGTGGTACCACTCCGGTCGAGCCAGCCCATTCGTGCCGAAGCATAGCTCTCCCACACTTAAGTATATGTACAAAAAGTCCACGGGACTCAAAATATCATAATACGCAAAAATTTATTGTTTAAACAAACAAGCGTTTGCTTAAAACAATATATATCTTTGTCCATAAGGGAAAGTAAATAATTATTTATCAGGATACATTTGTGACAGTAAAATCCTTTCGGTGTTAAAACCGACCCAAACCTTTATCAGTTGTGTAAAATGTCACACATTTTCATTTATTTTATACAATAAACAAACAAATGAAAAATAAACACTGGCTATGTAATAAATGTATTTGGAAATTATTAGTTAATCAACACAGTTTTAGTAGAGTTTAGTATCTATTGATTCTGAAACCAACGAACATTACTAAAGATGTTCATCATAATTTATCAGTTAATTTGATTATCTAACCACACAGAGTGTACAATTCTACAAACGGTATGGGTTGTCATTGAAAGCATAAATGCTATTGGTTGTCACAAAGCGTGATAACGCAATTGTAACCACCAAAACAGACGTGACAGCCTTTGTGGCGCTTCCAGCGTGACTCGTGTGCGCTTTGTTACAAGATGAAAGCGCTTACAAGGTATGTTCAGCAGATTTATAACTAGGTAATAACGCGAAACTACGTTGGGCAATCGCATTTATCTTCTGAGGGCCGCAGTTGGTGTAATGAATAATACGTTGCGCATGTACGTGGAAAGTTCCAGAAATTCGTAAATTCCAGTACTGTTCTAGACCTATTTACTTATTGATCTAATCGGTTCAGTGCTCGAATATATCGACTTAAGCATGCAGAAACAAGTGGCTCGTTGGAATTCATCGCTGGATTATAAAAGTAGCAATGTGTACGCTCGACTCATTTCAAAATTGCAGGGTAAGTAAATACCTTTTATTAATTGCGGAACTCTCCTCAATGACCTGAGTTATTTGGGTCGACAACCGACATACAACCTAAATCACAACGCAGTTCGTGTCATTTCACAAAAGTTGAAAATGACAAGCGCAGCTTTTGCCACCCGTTGACATTCAGAGTTAAATAAAAAAAGCATTTGTGGTGCCGTCAGAATTCATAATATTTTACACTCTACGTTGAGAGTGCAATAAAAGGGTAACGACCGCTTTATAAGCAGTTTCAGACGAACGTCCCTTTTGCAACGTGATAAAGATTTGTATGTTTGAAGATGAAAGTGAAATTTATTGCTGTAGTATCGTGTTTTATTTTATTAAGGCATTGTTCTAGCGCGGAGGCTAATAGTCTTTCGAAATCGTTATTCCTGTACGTATTCTTAAAACTATACAACTAATTATACATCAACTCTTTCAATAAACAGGATCAATATTGTGACTCATTTATAATCCTTTTTATACACTCACATGTAAACAGCGCCGTATTTACCTACATATTTATAGAATAGTTGAAGCAAAATAATCCCTTCCTCACCGCGGCACGGAGTAATCGCACAGCGCGTAACAGAGTCAACATAAGAAATAAGATAACATTCTGAGATTTAATACATCGTGAGGTAAAAGGAAACTAGTAAATGTATTTTTCACACGCTCTTCCATAGTAATACTCAGAACGATACTAAAAGGAATTGCTCAACTCTTAATGTTACCTAACAAAGTATTTGTACGGATTTCTGGTTGAAGATACCTCATGTTCCGCTCAGCTCTTGAATAAATATTTAATGTGTATCACTAGATGTTCCAAGTTTGCTTGATGGAATTCGTTGAAAACAAAATACAACTGTTTTCGCGAAATGTTTTGCTTGTATTTTTTACGAAATGTTTACGTTTAGGCTAAAGGATTTTTTAAATTAGTTATATCTATTTCATACCTAGAATCCCGTACCATTTTCCGTATACTTTTTCGCATTAAATATATTCTTCTACAAGAATTCATCATGATGATCACATTGCTGACGAAGACGTTTTACGACGCAGTACGCATTAGGGTTGATTTCATGAAGCTTAGGTAATAGAAAATTAGGTCTCTAGGTCTCTAAGTCTCTATCTAATATTTTTCCTTGACATTTTCCGAGAAACCTTCAGAGGAAAAATGTTCTACGATGTTAGGCGCCAAAGGAGCTAAATACGGATCTTTTACAAGATTTATTATATCATGGAGCTTATAAAAATTGGTGTACAGCACTTGATTTCACGTAGAAAAATAAGACGTATGTATTATCGTATAAGGATAAAAATATTTTCACACTGTAGGTACCTACACGTGTATAATGTAATGAGAAAAGTCTTATAAAGAGGAAAAGTAGTATTTGTAATATTCCAAACCATTTTCCACACGTTATTAGTAATTTTTGTACATTTTATTGCCACATAGAGAGCATAAATCAAAATTTCGAGTTGCTTTCGAGTTCTTGGAACTAAATAAAATCATGATCTTTGAAATTAAGTATAATATTTTAATCTTTGAAATTAATTAATTAATTAATTATCTTTGAAATTAAGTATAAGTCACCAGAGCATACACTACAGCTTGTGTTGTCACTACATGAGCTGTTCAATTGGATCTAGTATCACCATTTCAATTATATTTTAACCCAGTATAAGTATAATATTTTTTGAACTAAGTATAATAGGATTTTCCTGGGAAATTAGCACAAATTATTACATCAAAAATGTCAATGTGTAGGTATTTTTTTTAAGAGGGGAAATCATCGAATGTCTGCTCCCGCCTGGGTGAGGCGGGATGGAGTGTCAGACTCAGATTCTTACTTATTATTCTTAGTCTAAAAACCACCCCGTTCCTTCTCCTGCACGTCGAGCCGGAACCCCGGTAACCCGTTAGGTTCTCCGCGACAATGTTAGGTTCTCCGCGACTATGTGTAGGTGTAAGGTATTACTTTACTTATATTACAATGACATAGAAAAGTCACTTCGCAACTTCATGTCGAACGACAACATTTAGTAGCGGCCTTTGGTAGGCTAACATTACACGTTGCTATTCTAATACTAGAAAAAACATTAACTTTTCCAACGCGTCTGGTTTACCTTGATATTATTCTTCCACCTGACTGACCTAAAAAGTTCAGGGACTAAATTAAAACACAAATAAGTAATTCTAGAAAGTTATTTCTATTCGTTAAATATACATGTCTATTTGAAGTAGCTTTAGTGAAATTGTTTCAAAAGTTATGGAACAAAATATTGTCTTGTATATTTTTAAACAGGTGAGCATAAAGATATTTACTTACTTATTTTTATTACAGAAAACTCAACAGCTTATTTAGTAAATGCTACATCTATAATAATGACAAGGCATGGAAACTTAAGCCAATAACAGAGTTTTTCAGCATGCGTTAGGTAAAAGTAGGAGAGTGAGCAATATAAAATAAAATTAAACAATCAAGGACATTTTTTTATAAAGCAATAATTAAGAAGAATAATAATGTTATAAGAGTCACGCACTAGTGAGTATTTGTATAAGCGACTTACGAAAGGATACCTTTGACAAATTAAATATATCCACACTCTCAAACTTCTCTGTGTAAATGCGAGGTAGTCGAGTCATAACAGCATTTTTCCCATAATTCGTACGATGTGAGGGTATACTAAGCAAGTGAGTATGTCTTGTTCGACACCTGTGCGTGCAGAATTCAACGCATGACAAGAGATCACTGCTATCTATCCCACCCCGCAGGATATCATAAAGAAGGAGCATGTCCAACATCTGCCGTCTGTCATCAAGTGGCAATAAGTGGTAATGTTTACAATCCGTCAGATAAGATGCGTGGCGTTTATGGCTTTTAATATTTAAAAATTTTATAAATCGTTTCTGAAGATTCTCCAAACGAGATATATGAATATTATATAGAGGAGACCAGACAGGACTGCAATATTCTAATGTGCTGCGGACATAAGCAAGATACACAATCTTGAGACTATGAAGGTTTCTGAATGGTTTACATGTGCGCATTACAAATCCAAGATTACGAGAGGCTTTACCAACTGTACTATCGATGTGTTCAGAGAATAGCAATCTAGAGTCCAGCAACACACCAAGATCTCTAACGACATCTACTCTTTCTATAGCTATGTTGTCAAATTTATAACAATACTTTATGGGGTTTATGCGACGGGTGAAACTAATAGATTGACATTTCGATATATTCACATTGATGTTATTCTGCGAGTAGTATCGGTATAGTGAATTAAGGTCATGTTGTATGAGCTCACAATCAGACACCGATTCAACCCGCAAGTATATTTTCATGTCATCTGCGTATAGAAGGTGTTTAGAGTGTTTGAAACATGCTTGGATGTCATATAAGTACGCAGAGTAAAACAGAGGTCCAAGCAAGGATCCCTGTGGGACACCGGACGTTATATCCACAAAGTCAGATCTAAAGCCACCGATCACAACAGCCTGAGAACGCTTGGACAGATAGGAACTGATCCACCTAAGCAAGTCGCCGTGAATGCCAAGATTTTGGAGTTTCGAAAGCAGGATGACATGATCCACGCGATCGAATGCTTTTTCGAAGTCTGTATAGATTGCATCAACCTGACCACCCGCCTCCATATTACGAATAACATAGTTAGTAAAGGTGGCAAGATTAGATACTGTTGAGCGGCGTCTCATGAAACCATGCTGATATGGACCAATGCTATTGGATATCGTTGAATAAATATTATTG